TCCTCAGTATTTAATGTCTCTGTGTTCCACCGGCCTGGGCGAGCACGTGGGGGGAACGACTGGAGTGCGGCGCTGCGGGGTCGGGCCGCGGGGTAGAGGCGGGGGCCGGGGTGGGGGGGTGGCGGCGCGAGGAGGCTGCATCCCGGCGGTCGCAGAGGAGCTGGTAAGTTGGGGCCGGCGGGGGCCGCTGGCCCGCGCGAACCACCTGCCCGGGCCCTGAGGGCAGCACCGTTGGGGTGATGGGGAATCCGGGGTGCAGGTGCGGGGTGTGACGCGCGCTCCAGGCACCTCGGGGGCAGGCGGCTCCGGATTCCGAGCGCGTGCGGCGGGGCGCCGGCCTGCCCGCTGGCTGTCAAGCAGGCCCTTCTTTGCCTTCCATCGCCTGCGCGAACCCTGGTCCTCCCCCGCCGGGGCTGTCTGCCTGCCGGCTCCAGCTGACAGATCGCGTGTGCCTGTCTGGGGCGGCGCTCTGAAGCCGAGTGGTGCCCCCCACACGCGTCGCCTTTCTCCGGGGCGCGGGCTGCGGACACTGCGCCCCGGGCTCCCCTCTGCGGCTAAACTTTCCCCGAGCGCGCAGTCTCGGGTGAGACAGAACTGAGCGCGTCCCACCCAAGGTCGCGCAGCCCCACACGCGTTTACTTTTCAAAGGTCGTGTGTACCCAGGCCGAGCCGCGAGCGGCGGCGCGCGGGCTGCGGGCCGGGCCAGGTGTTCCGGAGGGGGAGGAGGTCCACCCAGGCCGTGGGGACCCCCCACCTCCCCGAGATGTCGGAGTAGAATTCTCACTTCAGGGGCCTCGCCCAACTTCTGGCCCCCTTTGGCTCGCGCCTAGGCCCGGCGGTGGCCAGCCCGAGCAGGTAGCCAGCCCCGGGGAGTTCGGGGCGGCGAACGAGGAAGGGACTCGGTGGAAGGAACCGGAGGATGGGCTAGGAGACGACTGTGCCTGGAGCCGTGGTCCGGGCGGAGGGTTTGAACCGAGTTAGGGCCCTGAGGGGAAGGGTTTGGTGTCGCCCTGGGGTTCGGCTTCGAAGCCCCTTAGAGGTGTCCGGAGAGGCGGAGGCCTTCCATCCCGCTGACTTTACCCCCGGGGGTGTCGGGTGTCACGTGTCCCGCTCCGCCTGCATCTTCCCTCCCCCACCCTCCGCCGCCGGACTCGCGGTTTGGAGGCACCTTGCTAATTTCGGGGATATGTTTCAAAATGAGCGGATGGAGCCGGTGATCTGGACGTCTCGGGGCGGGCTTTCAGCGGTTCAACTATTTTGAGCCCCAGAGTTTGGTTACTCGGTTGCCAAAGGAGGCCCGGGGATGTTGGTGATTGGCAGTCCTCAACCCATCCCGGACAGCGTGCAAGCCCTTGGGCATTTCGCGATCTTTCTTTCCCGGCGAGATGCCCAGGACTATGGGGTTCCTGCTCCTGGGCAGCCACTAACGCAAACCCGGTGAACTTCGCTCCAGGTGCGAGTGGAGGCCTCAAGTCGGATGGAGTGTATGGGTAGGGCAATTAGTGAGGTTAAAGTAGCTGTCTTCCTCCGAGGTACTGGCTACTGGATGTTGTAAGTTCTTGTGGAGAAATCAGGGCTGCTGGACCTGGTCGTCATTATCTGTTGTTTGGTTTGCTACTCCCAACTCCTAAACTTCTTTGTTGCAATTGCTGATCACTTTCACAAAAAAGCTATTCTCTTTGGCAGCTAGTAACTCTTCCTTGCTCTTGTAAACGTGTCCTTCTTCAATTAGGTTTTTCTTTTAAAAAAAAAATATTTAGAAAAAGCAAAACTTGAACTCTTAGTAAGCACCACCCATTCACTTTGCTCTTAAAGGTGCAGAACATCTTCCAAGGTAGAGAGGGCAATTGTATTTGATCCTGAATCTGATTTCTGTTCTTGACTTTCAGGTGGTCTACCTGCTGATTCTTTTAAGACTTTCTGAACACTGGAAACAAATTATGTTTTGAAACCTTTTTGATTTACATTGAACTCTTCCTCTTTAACTTAACTACTTTCCTGGGTTTTAGGTAATAAGTCCCTGGATAAGTTTTCAGAGGTGTGGCCTGGGGCTAGAAGAGGTCCTTTGAATTTTATAGGTTCTCAAATCACAAAACTTTATTGCCTACTTGGATTAAATAGGCTTTATTGTCATGCATATTGTTAGGTAGTGGCCTAGGATTTGCTTATTTTTGATCTCTTCCAAGTCTGTGTTGTGTGAATGTTGGCCTAATGGACTTGTGCCCAGCTGGAATCTTCTGTATGAATAACAGTTCCTACTAGCTGTTTCTAGGAAATACTTTCGCACTTGGTCACTGCAGGGTGATGGTGGAAGTGTTAAAATGAAGCTTGCTCACATGCCAAAGTTGGCGTATCTCCAGTATAAGGTTGCTAAACATCAATATTTTAATGCAATTTGGTTACATAGTAACTCAAAATACCTATGGGCTTTGGACTTAGGCCAGGTCATAGCCATAGTTTGTAGATGTAGGCCAAGTTTTTATAATGTTCCCTTTTCATTGCTCTAAAGAAAAGTTGAGGTATTTGTGAGACTTGGGACAGTCTCTGGTATGACAGGTGCTCAAACATGTTTTTTCCCTTCTCCAAAAGAATCCAAGATTTTCTTGAATTACTTGAGTGATTTGAATTTTATTCACACTGCTCCCTCCCCAAATCTGGAAACCTGGTTGGAATGAAAGGAAAACAAAACAAAGGAGTTTCTCTCAACTTCCCAGTCAGCATGTGTACCTTTTAGGGCATTGCGGAGTAGACACACCAGGCCACTCTTTTCTAATCTTCCTCTGGGTCTAGAATGAAGTCTTCTTTGCAATTTGGGTCTATTGTATTCTGTGGAGAAGTTGTTTTGTTGTGAATTAATACCTTACGTTGTCATTCATGAGGGTTTTCCTCTGTTGGGAGATGGTAGGACCTATGGGTTTGTTGCCCACTGAGATCATCTCTGACAGTTTGAGTTCCTGGTCTGTGTTGGATGTATCTTAATCCTACACCTGGCTTCCTAGGGCAGGTTCTGTTTCTTCCACATCCCTTCCTGGGTACTACTCATACAGGTTATATCATTAGGATCATTTCACATTAAGTACCCATTGTACGTGACACTCCACTGAGCAAGACTGCTGGTCCTGAGGGCTAATTTTAAATGTGGGCTGTGGAACAAACTGATCACTGAGAATGTTTTGAGTTAGCAGAGTCAGCTGGAGAGAACTAAAATTCAGAGGATGCCTTTTCCTTGGCCGTTACTGATCTAGGTGAATTGCAAGCAAACACCTCCCTACCATAATCTTTTAATCTTATGGCTCTGAATACTATTAAGGAGAGGATAAAGCTGGAGGTCACTAGGATTGTTTCAGTGACTCATAAAAATAGAAATTGAAGATAGGGAATTGACAAGTATGGTTTTGGAGGTCTGCTGGAATGCTTTGTGTGAAGAACTAAGGAAAATCCACGGGCTTTTCTCCTTTCTAAGCAGATTGTTGCAGTGAAGTGTACTGTCTTGCCATTCAGCATTCTGAGCACTGGCTTTCAGTATTAGGCAACTTTCAAGGTGCCCTTTTCCCTAACTTTCCTTTCTTCATGGGAAATGGTCTTTCCAGATCCTTGTCATTTGGATGTTTTTGCCACTAGGTCTGATAATTTGCTGTAATCAGTAGTAAACCACTGTCCCCTCCTGAGTGGCTACCCTCACTTAGCTAGACTTCCCTGAGGCCATTTTCTACTAAGGAACCCTAAAGTAGGGCCATAGGTGAGTTCTGGAAGTAGAGGTGTGCAGTGCTTTGAACTGATGAGGCTTGTTTCACTTCTGGGCTTAGATGCCTGGATTTGGGGGTTGAGTACCTGGTACACTGCCTTCAGAGTTGAAACCTGGCTGTGACTGTGGTTAGGTCCTTTGGCTGTCTGGGTTCTCGGTTCCTGTAGCTCATAAATAGAGGACTGCTTAGCCTCAAGGCCCTCTGATCTTGAAAGCCCTGAAGTGAGACTAAAGTGCCTCAGGGTTGCTGGAAGGTGGAGTTCCTTGCAGTGTTGCCAATGGGGCTGTGGATGGTACTAGTCAAGACTGGTGGGGGAAAACCCCAAACACAACAACCTATTGCTTTCAGTGGATCTGAGTTTACTTTAGTGCTGAGGTACAGCTATGCTCAATACATGGGGGTGGGGGTGGTGTTTAAAGGGTGTCTATTCTCCTTTAAATCAGTCCTTTGAGGAAAAGATCTAGAGTTTCCTCATGACTATGTGTGACTAGTTGAATTTAAACTTTTTAAAGCATTAAATAAAATTTAAAACTCAATTTCCTAGTGACATTGGCCACATTTCTAGTGCTCAGTAGTCTCATGTGGCGAGTAGCTATAGTATAGGAAAATGTCGGGCTACAGCATTTTTATTATTACAAAGTTCTGCTGGACAGTGCTGTCCTTAGTTCTTGCCCAACTCCAAAATCTTAAATTTCCTCACCTCATAAAGCATCACAAATTTGGTTTTAGTCTTCCATGTCCACTATCTCAACAGCTTTGGTGATAAATTATGTATCAGCTCTCTGTGAAACTAGTTCTGGTCTGCCACTTTGGAGGGCAGTGATTAATTATGAAACATTTTGAGAGAGGACTGTAGTAAGGGGTCTGGAGACAGATAATGTGCAGCAAAAGAGCCAGTCACTAAGCCCTGGGAAAGGTGCTGTTTTGATTTGGGCACCAGTTTAGTATAAAGGTTTTCGCTGGTTCCCACGGCCTTTGCTCACTGCCCTCCATCTTCAGATGTTACAAGGCCTGCTGTTTATTTGGCCCTGGAGACTTCCTGCAGAATACCAATTGGGCCCTCAGCTAAACCAAGTTGCAAACACCTTTCAAATAAGTGTATTTTGTTTCTGTCCCTTGCTAGTCCATCTTGGTGGGAGGATCCCTGTGATTACAGAAGGCCTGGGGGTGGAAGTGTTGGGAGTTTGGTCATAGAGGTGCTCCTGAAGTGCTGGTGTGTATCTCCACATGCCTCCTTGTTCAGTTCTTGGTGGGCTTTCTTTGAACACTGCTAGCTTGAACCTTGTCACGTAGTCTCTCTTTTCTTTTGTTGGTCCCAGACAGCATAAGATGCACAACAGGCATTTATTGAGCACCTACTACATACTAGGCATCTTTTCCCCTTTTTAGTTTTCAATCTGTGATTCTAAATATCTCT